TTCCTGCTCCTATCAGCACCAAGCACAAGGAACCCTTGAAATCAGGGTGCCCAGCTGCAAAGCTGAAGCTGCCCGACTGTGCAACATGAAATACAAGCCACCAAATACTTGTACAGAACATTATTCTGTCCAGAGCAACCTGCAAGAATTTGTAAACAATGACACCCAAGCAAAGAGAGGCAGATGAAGAGTGTTTGGGAGCCTGACCAAAAATCCCAACTACTTCTGGTTCACCTCTGCTCTACATTGCTCAATAAACTGCTGGGAAAATCCTCTCTAGTGCATAAGGCAATAAAACAGATCTACCCAGCACGAGGTACCTATTCAGGATGGAGCACCCACTGTAGAGAAGTGACCAGATAGGGAGAATAATGATTCATGTAGCACATATGAGTTGGTCAGCCTCAGATCCATAGCTGTAACTATTCTTTGAGATCATAGAATCATAGACTGGTTTGCACTGGAAGGGACCTAAAAGCTCCAACCCTCCTGCCATGGGCAGGGACACTTTCCACTAGCTTAAGTTGCTCAAACCCACATCCGACCCGGTCTTGAACACTGCCAGGGATGGGGCAGCCACAGTTTCTCTGGGCAGCCTGCGTCAGCGCCTCAGCACCCTCACACTAAAGAATTTCTTCCTAATGTCTAATCTTAAACTACCTTCTTTCACAGTTTAAAGTCATTCTCCCTTGTCCTATCACTACATGCCCTTGTAAAAAGGCATGTAGTGAGATGTTACTCAGATGAACATTCCTATTTTTGAGGAAACGTATACGAACACCTGAAACGAACTGAGTTCACTGCCTCAGAAGTACCACTAGGACAAACACCCTGTTCATGTACTGCACACAAACATACAGAAAGGAAGGACCTGCTTCATATTGACAGATCCCCTCAGCATCAATGTCCCAAGAATCCTTCACAAGGTTCAAGATTGTGAAAGTGCATGCAGATAGTACATCTCAGAGAATAGTGCATTAACTAACAATCTTCTCCTTCAAGCACATATCTATGTGGACATTCACACTGTGGCTCATTCGTGACAATAAAAGCTCTACCTAGCCAGTGTCTGCTAGAGATTGCTGAACTCCACCTCCAGAAGGTACCAGTAGTATTATCCCACTCCAATTCTTCAGAGGATGGAGAAACCTAAGAACCTAAAGAACAGGCTAGCTCCATACACCAGAGGAGACAGAACTTCATGTAGAAATCAACTGCATTCACCCCTTGACCATGACCTAAGGATTGCTTTGCTTCTCGTATCACTTGCAAGAAGCATGTAAGTGTGTGAATCTGTTGCTTCTGTACATTACTGGTACCAAGAGGGTTAGACCTGAATGTTGCTGAACTTATGCGTGTGGCATAACTCTTTCACGAGAATGATCTAGAAAGAAAAAAACTAAATACTATTATTATGAATGAGCGTTTCTTGTGATCCAACTTTTGGTTTAATTCTTTTCAGAACAGGCTGTCTGTCAGACAGCTACTGAACATGATTGACAGTTTGGATGCAGCCACTGTTGGAGCTGGAAAACAGTGCTAACATCCAGATCATCAAACTCCTCTTAGTCTGTCTCAAGGAGTGAGAAAGCACAATTATTTATCAAAGGCAGGTCTACCTCTACAGGTCTTACCAAACTATTCAGGTGCAGGTATGGAAAGGCTAATGATTCCAGGGCTGCACTGTTTGCTCTCAGGGCTGTATCATTTTGTTCCCAGTGCTATAGCTAGTCCTATAAATGAATGAGAAGACAACGAGCCTGGGGATGAAGCCCTTCTGTTTTTTAAACCATTCTGCTTACTTTTTGGTGTTTGTCCCTGAGCCAAGACTGGCACCAGTAATGGCAAAGCAATACTGTGAGAGAGCTCATCTGCCACCACTGTGTTGGGAAGTTTCAGAATTACCATGAGTGCACGGTGTGACAGACGCTGCCCCACCTGCTGCTGATCTTTCTGGGGACAGTTCTCCAAAGCATTTATGGGACACAGTCAGGGACTATTCTGTTTTCACCTAAAAGGGATAATTTCTGAGAAGGTGCCAACTTCAGATGTTCTGCTGAGGAGCCAGCTTCCTTCCCCAAGGAATAATCCTGGAAACTGTCCTTTTTCACTTGAGGCTTGTCTTCAACGTACAACACGCATTCCGTGTTGCACAGGCTTCTCTGAAGCTGTTCGAACAACACACAACTTCCACAAGGTAAGAGCTGTTAAAAGTTTAATGGAAGAATTGATGTAATCAGAGGAAACACTAAACACTGTAAGTGAAGACAATGCAGTGATGCAGCTGCAGAACAAGGAAAGACTCACGCTCTACCTTCATGCCAGCTACAAGTTTGTCAGGAACTAAGGACAAATATGGGGCATGAACACTGGAATAAGTATGCTCAGGCAGGGGGAAGAGCTAAAACACAAATACTTGAATGTGAGTATCTCCTACACAACATTCAGCTTATTACAGCACAGGAAAGCTAGACACTACCACTGCTGTTTGTTCATGCACGTGATTTGCAGACAAGCTCTTAATAATTAACAGACAGACCTCTACAGCTGTGTGATAAACCTATGAACAGTACTGTCATTACAAAATGGTTGCTAACAGTGTTGGAGCTATCAATACACAAACACTTTATGTCGGGTATTTCAAGCACAAAACCATAACCAAAGCACCTCCTGCAATGAAAAGGAAAAATATGCTTCTGTTTTTAAGTGACATCATTTAAACATGATATTTACAAAAACTCTTCTTGAAATCACCTCTTCAGCTACTTACTGCAAAATCACTTTTTATAGGAGCTATGTTCGTCTTTCAAAATATTTATTCAACATGAATTCTTTATTCTTGAATACACTTTTATATATTTATCCTCCTTTTCTTTTTTTTTTTTTTTGATGGAACACATTTTGTGCAATGAAAAATGGGACCACAAAATGTGAGGAAAATTTAAATACTGCTAGTACTAAATGAGGGTTCTTGCATTTCACCTACAGAGTACTTCCTTGGCTTCAACAGTATTCTGCTTAGCACGGAGATGCATGTGTGCAAGACTCAGGTGAAGAGTATTTCTTGGAGTTTTAGAAACCTGATGCAAATTTGCACATTGTAGCATTACAGTTAACTGCTACTCAGACAACCACTCTTGTGATGCTAACCCATCCATTCATGTCTCAGTTTACTGGACATCAGATTATCAAAAGATACAACAGCAAAAGGAAGTCCTCAGAAAACAGTCTTTCCAAAGTATGCAATCACACACACACAGACTAGAGATCAGATAGACATCCTGAGAGAAAATGACCAAAAACCAGATTCGATCAGAACAAAATAATTCCTTTTGAACACACCACAAAAATTATTTTCCCATAAATATCAACAAAATATTGTAAAAGAAATGTTGCAAATTTAACTGAAAGATACATCCGCTACATCTTAAAAGGTTTGGGAAGCATAGTGTGTTTTTCAAATATCAGGTGACAGAATAAAGTCAACCTTATTTCACCCTACCTGCTGCCATTTGCCCTTAATTGCTGGATCTCTGATCGACTGGCAATGCCTCTGGATTTGCTGGATGACACCCTGGTAATATACCATAGAAGAGTCGTAATTCCCAAGGAGTGCATATTCTCTTCCTTTTTTGGCATTATCGCAAATCTCTGCTAAATTCATCTTCACTCAGAAATCTAAAAAAGAACATAATCATCAGAAAAATGAACTGTACATGCTGTAGTAACTCAGGCTGTGACTTACAGCTGAACTGTGACTTTCCACCCGCTGCTCCCATCCAGTCCCCCTCTTTTTCAAGCATTTAGCTCTGGAGTACCTCTTCACTAGCCTAAGGTTTCAGATCATGGATCATAACTCTTTTGTAGTGATAAAAAACACAACTTCTTTGCTGCCTTTGGCCCCAATCCTGTTAAATTAGTGCAAGAAAATTAAATGCCCTGTCCACACTGAACCAAACAAGCCAAACTTGAATTTGTAGATCACCACAATATATTAGCAGCCATCAATCCATGAATCACAAATCACACGAGGCATTAAATTGCTTTTTATACTGTTGTATTACATACATGCCTAGATGTGCCAACCAGCAACAGGGAAATCTGCACTTAGCACTTTCAAGAGCCCTCACCCTAATGAGATTATGACATGGTTGAATGAATGCTGTACTATAGACAAAGTTGAGAGCCTCATTCTGTTTAAATATTCTTTCAAAGTACTCCAGCATCCACATGCTGACTTCAGTTTTTTCATTAAATTTAACATGTCGCTTTGGGATTTATGGCAGAGTTAGCAATCCCAATTTAAGATTCTTTAAAACAGTGATTCCCAAAGTACAACCTTTCCCTAGAACCCAAAACAATTTAAGATTTACAGATTTTACTAACATTTTTACACAAGTAGTATATCGTAGAATGACTTTAAGGCAAACCTGTACTTTTCCTAGTAACCATTCAAGAAAGAGATTTTAAACCACACACTGATAAGTAAGCTACATTACAACCATGGAATGGTTCGGGTTGGAAAGGACCTTAAGATCATCTAGTTCCACCCCCCCTGCCATAGGCAGGGACATCTCACACTAGACCATGTCACCCAAGGCTCTGCCCAACCTGGCCTAGGCTTGTATTTAAGGTTCAAGACCAAAGCAGTGCCTGCCCTTTTATCTGAATCCCACATGACCCAAAGTCTAGGTCCTTACCACACAAAAAGAGCATCAGTTCCTTTCCCTTGTCCTCTGACTCAGGACATGTGGGGTCCCTGACATTCACCCAGATATAAACCTCTGGAAATCAAAAATATAAAATTACCATTTGTAGCCACACAATGCAGAGAGCTGCACTGACCAAGGGGGAGGAGGTGGAGGGTGGTCCACTACCTACATCAAGGTTTTGGCAAGACCAAAGTGTCTGAGAAGAAACAGGGAAGGAGGGGTACAGTCAGATGGGGAGACAGAAGGGCACAGGGCCTGGTGCAGCACATAGTTCAGGCTGCACAGCTGAAGACAACCTGTGATATGGGGGTGTGTGCAGTAGGAGCAGGTGGTAGCAGAGAGAAGCCAGAACAGGGAGAAACAACCTTTACATCCTAGCGGGTTATAAAAATGTTAGTAGCTTTTATAGAACAGACAAGACAAGATAAAGACTGCATTAAGGAGGATGTATCTTATGTCTTTGTACTCCCTCGTGCTTAGCAAAATTCAGACCTCTGACAAGGAGTCAAACCAATATCCACACGACCTTCATTCCACCTGTCCTGAACACTGCCTATCGCAAACACATGCTCTACCTCCCAACAGTGCTGAACTGATGGTCCTTTCTGCTGCTTGCAGCTGCACACCAGGTCTGCTCCACCACCTCTTCACTCTTGCTCCCTGCCCCTAAGCCATGGAAACCTGCTGCCCTCACTGGCATCCACTGGCCACACGGCTTCCATGTGGCTGAAGATTTTGATGGCAAGAACACACTGTTGCCCCATGGCTGGCACTCCACTGAGCCTAGCAAGACACATTAGGGCTTACTTGTCCTTATGCTGTGACACACATTTCAGTTTGTGGGTCATGCCCACATCTGTTATAAACTTCTGGGCAGGAGCAGAACTCAGGTGGAAAGGGTGATGACTTTATATTGTTTACTCCTGGTGCTGAGGAAGGGCAGGATACGTCACTAGAGAGCTCTAGCTTTGTGGCAAGTAAGACCATTTAAAAATGCAGATGATAACTGATAGGAAAAAGTCCTGTTAGTTGCATTGCACTGGAAATAGATAAAAAGATAGGAACTGAATATAGGTTACAACCCATTCAGATCTGATAAGTCAACTTATAAATGAACAAAGCACCACCTGGGGCAGAATCCATGGCCCTGTCTTCAAACACATCCAGGTTAGAATCTGCTACACAACCGACTTGTCCCTGTAAGGAAAATGGTCCTCAAACATCTGCAAGTTTTCCCCACATGTAGCAAAAAACAAGAGTAAATAAAACATTTCTAAGGAAATGCTGCATTCAATTCCTAGAAATCCATTAAACATGTACGTGCTTTAGCAATCTCTTGTATGTTTATTACAGCTAGTTCACACCCTGCAGGCACGTGCTTAACTCCCCTTTGCCTTAAGAGGGCTGACACTCATAACCAGCTCCCCTTAAGCCCAGAAGAGTGCCCTGCTCAACAGAGGAGACAAACTCCTGTCTCCAGCCCAAGTCCTGGGCAGGAGGTAAGGCACAGCAGCCATAGAAATATGTGCTCACTTCAGAAGAGTGGTTAGCTCAGGAAGCTGGGATGCGGGAGGCAGAAAAACTTACATGGTCTTAAAACTTCTGCGGGAAACCAGATGAGACTCTCCCGTGTCCTCCTGCAATCAAGAGTCTGGGGGCTTCTAGCCTCACTCTGGTGACACTGAAGCTTAAGCAAGTGCTTGATGCCCAGTGGAGAGCTTTTAAACACCAACAGGCACTAAAGCTTGGAGGATAGAGGGAAGTTGGTGGATGTACATGTATGAGCATGTACATCCACCATGTACAGCAGTTGGTGCCTCCAGAGCTAGGCTGACAAAAGCTTCTGGATCTTTTTCTTGGATTCAGGCACTTCAGTTTTTACTGTCACCTACCCTAGACACCAAAACAGGCAATATAGCTTGACAAGATTAATATGAACATCACCCATATACCTGAGACATGTTTGAAACAGCAACTGTAGACCTCAGTCCTAAATCAGTGCTCTCCCTGATCCCCAGGCAGCTCTTTGAGGTCCTACTGCAAAGAGACTGGCTGTTTGAAATGAATGGCTAAAAATGGTTTAAACGAACTACAGACCTCTTACACACACAAGCAACGGTAACGTTAGTTCAGAACAGCCAAAGCCAAGTTGGCTTCTCTTAGGCCCAAAATTAAGGAAAAAATGTTTTTAGGAAGGAATTCCTTCCTGGATTGTTTTCTGGACAGCACGCTCTTCAGTGCTGGGGGTGGGGAGGAAAAGGTAGCTTGCACTAGGTGGGGGCTTTTTCATGTTATGTACTTATTTTTTTATTATCTGTCCTGCATTATGTTATAGAGTTCACAGAACATTGCAAATGTCCAAGGAACCAGAGATACAGAAGTCATAAACAGTGCTTTTGTTGTTTGGTTTTTTTTGTTGTTGGAGGTTTTGTTTAAATATTTGTTTTTCCTACCATATCACAGCCACAGCTTTTAAGTAAATACACATACAGGGACAACTGTTGTCAGGTACATTTAGAATACCTTACACATTACTTGTGACACCAGCTTTTCATTCTATCATTGCGGGGTTCTTTCCTGCACTAGTCCATAACAGCTCCACAGCACATCAAGATACCCTTGGAGATTCTTTAGTTCACGGATCATTGACAAGAAGAGACATTACAGACGTTCATGTCAGCATAGCTGCCACACATAGGGTCTTAAGCCCACTTGTTAAAACCCTGCAGCAGCTAGGCTAAAAGGTCACAGGGGATATTAATCTCTATTCTTTGGAGCTTAAGCTGAGCTGATCTCTGAGGTCAGAAAAGAATTTTTCTCCCTGAACTACAGCAATGCACAGCTGAGCAAGATCCAAAGACAGTCTCTATTTTAACATTCAAGCATCATACACACACAAACATATCCACAGGCAGATACAGTGACTGTGTGAATGCTGGGCAAAGAGGGACAGCTTGTTTAGCGCACTATTCCAAACTTGTGTGCAATACCAGAGGGAATCGCAGGACAACTCCCCCGTTTAGCCCGTCTCCCCATAACTTCACACCACAGTGCTATCAGAGGCAATAAATGCTCGCCCCTATAGCTGGGGTCTGTAGCAGGGGCTTTCCTATTGCTTGACATTGAACGTTCAGCTCTGCAAGTGCCAAAATGAAAGGCATCTTTACTATCTTTACATGTTTCCTTTATGCCCATGTGTTTTAACACAACCAGTTACACAACTGTGTCCCATTTTCTCCACAGGCACCCAACTCATGCACTGGATGGATGATGCTCATTAGATAAGCACTTACTCATTTTTGCTTTATTCTCATTGCTCCAATAGTCTTTTTCCAAATGAGTCTTTTCTCCAAATTAGTTGTTAGCTCCTAACTGATAGAGCTATATCATACCTGGTTTTTTCTGGATGTGTGTCTTTCTCTGACCAAAATTTTACCCAGGCAGACCAAAAAGATTGCTGGGCATATGGTCTCACGTCATAGCAGCTGTGCAGTATTGCTGACTGGACAGCTGAACATCTGGAAAGGCCTGGACATACACAGATGAAGACTGGTACTAATACTGTTTCTCATTTTCTGTAAGTCAGCCATGCAGCACAACGTTAGGCATCCCAAAATGCAGTGTAAGAGACCCAACTAACGTCACAAGACAGAGCCACGCTGTTAGGCACCATCTTCTGAAATCCAGTGCTGAGGTACCTCAGTTTAAGGCCATACTGGTTTTGTAAGCCAGCTCCGACCAGTTCCAAACAGCTTTCTCTCCCTCAATTATGTTTTCACTTAAAACAGCACAACAATCCTACTTCCCATTGTCTCTTCAAAGTTAAAACTTGCTAAAATGGAGATATACAACAATATGACAATTCCTTATCTGGAAAAGCATAAACTGCAACACCAACTGGAACATTATCAGATGAAGAAAAAAACCCATTTTTTCCCTGCACAACTTGTGA